TCTTAATTTTTCTTGTAAGAAAATCCTTTTGGAGTGAAATAGAGCCACAGTTACAGTGTGATTTAAGCCCAGAAGCATTGCACTGAGATGGACTGAGCCAAGGACGAGGAACCTGGTGGCTGCCAACTCGCCCTGATGCAGTACCTGGTCAGGGCTGCATTCTTTGTTGGAGCTTCAGATTTCTCTCTCTCTCTCAGTCTGAATTTCACAAATGTGGTTTTTTCCCCTTGTCTGTGACGCAAGATGCATTATCAGGAAAGACCCATTTATGGTGAGTGATGTAGTGGAAAGATGGTTCACAAAAGGGTTTCCTCACTCGTGTCCTCTAGTGCTGTGTGCAGATCGCAGTAATTCCCTACATGCAGACCTTCAAGTCGCAACTGTGAGATGTGAAAACGTTCATTTGCTTGTCCGTCACGTAAGTTACTTCACATGTCTGGTGTGCATCCTCTACGAGTGGCTGTGCCTTTGTGTACTTTACTGTGTAATACTGTATAGCGCACACTAGTACAATATCTTTTATTCTAAGCCCAGGATGTGCAGAAGCAAGTGCAAAAGCAGCAGTGATATAGCTATATAGGCACTGTATAGCTGATTGTGTGAGTTGGGTACCTAACTTTGTTGGGTTTACGGACAAATTGGACTTAACAGAGGCGCACTTGGAACAGAACTCATTCATTTGCAGAGGACTTACCATATCCGGGAAGGCCAAAACTGAGAGAAAAGACGCTTTCCAACCAGCTCATCTGCTGACCCACTCACTTCAGGACATTTATGACCAACCCAGTATAAGTCACCACATGCAGTTTTTCAGCTTTGTGCTTAACTTGAAATCAGCTGAGTTTCCCATTTTGAGCTTATGTCAAAGCAGCAGAATTATTATTTTTTCTCCTAAAGGGAATGTTCACAGAACTCCAAAGCTTAGGACTGGCGAGAGTTCATCCTCCCCCACACTGAACAGCCCATTTCTGCAGGTGATGGGACCTCAGGGTTTGAGGGCGTTTTGTTTTAACATGACCAATTTGGACCTATTATGCAGCTCCTGGGCTACACACACGTAGAGCAGACAGTTGTGTTACTGTGTGATGGTAATGAGTGTGTGTGTACCTAAGCATAGCTCAACATAGAAAAGGGGCAGTAAGACTCTGGCCTCCTGGTCTTTAGGGCCACCGTGACGTGTGTTGTCCGTGGCTAACTTGGTGCGTGACTGTCGGTGGTGGACGCAGAGATGTGGGGAGTAGTCGCGACAGCTCTCCCTGTAGGTCTTGGCCCTTTTCATCCCCTGGTGGCAAAGAATCCCTACGGGGGAGTGTTGAGCAGAGCCCTGAGCGTGGCGGGCGGGCGAGCCATAGAGCCGTAGGAACATGCTGCTTTTCCTCTGCTCTGACACGGCCGGCCACACAGGAGACCTGCCGTGAGCAACGTTGGGGTCCTCCACCTGCCGAGCAGACTCAGGCTGAGGGTCTCCCAACGCAGGGGCAGCACCATCCGCCTGGAGCCTGTGTCAGACCCTGGTTGAGGGCTCAGCCCCATGGCTGCCCCCACCTTCTGATGGCAATCGCCAGCCCCAGGTGTCGCCCCTTGCTTCTGAGCAGCTGGGGATCCCGCAGCCCCTTCTGTGGGCTTAATTATTTGAGGTTCAATTAACATTCTGGAGCGGCTCACAGAACGCAGGGAAATACCTCTATTTACCGGTTTATTGTAAAGGGTGTTCCAAAGGCTACAGATAGGGCACGGTATGGGGGAGGGGCAGGCAGCCTCTATGTGGTGGGAGCCTTCAAGGTTCCTCTCTTCTCCCTCTTTGGGACATACAGTGTAATGTTGTTGACCATAGCCACCTTATGTGCAGTAGAATTGGGGTCCCCAACCCTCGGGCCACAGGCTGGTACCACTCTGTGGCCTATTAGGAACCGGGCTGCACAGCAGGAAGTGAGTGAAGCTTCATCTGTATCTACGGTCGTTTGCATTGCCACCTGAGCTCCGCCTCCTGTCAGGTCGGTGGCAGCATTAGATTCTCCTAGGAGCGGGCACCCTGTGGTGAACTGTGCATGCCAGGATCTAGGGGGCAAGCTCCTGATGAGAATCGAATGCCTGATGGTCTGAGGTGGAGCTGAGGTGGTGATGCCAGTGCTGGGGAGCGGCTACACATGCAGATGAACATTGGCAGTGAGGTTTGACTGCACAGAGACCATAGTAAACCAGTTGCTTGCAGACTCATGTCAAAACCCTACGGTGGGTGGCCAGCACTTCAGTTGTACGACTGCATCTGGTGGCCGACTTCAAGTCAGAACCTGCCACTTGTTTTAGGCCATGTGCGGCCCACCCATTTTATTTGCCATTTCTGTCCATGCCTCTTTTTTTATGGTGAGTTGTTTAATTACTTTAGTATATCTTACCATGTAATAGTGACAAAAATAAAGTGCACAGTAAGTGTCGTGTACTTGAATCATCCCCAAACCATCCTCCCCGTTGACCCCTCCCCCCATCTGAAACTGTCTCCCCTGAAACTGGCCCCTGATGCCAGAAAGGTTGGGGACCACTGCAGTTGAACTCCCAAACTTGTTCCTCCTCTCTAACTTTGTACCCATTGACCAGCCTCTCCCTGCCCACCCTCCCTAGCCTCTGGTGTCTACTGTTTTACTCTCTGTCTCTATGAGATCAACTTCTTTAGATTCCACATGCGATTAAGAACATGTGATATTTGTCTTTTTCTCCCTGGCTTGTTTTATTCAATGTGGTATTCTCCTGGTTCATCTATTACTGGCAGTGACAGGATTTCATTCTTTTTATGATCAAGTAGTATTCCGTTACGTATACGCAGCACATTTTCTTTATTCATTCATCCACTGAGGAACACTTAGGTTAATTTCATATCTTGACTATTGTGAGTAGTGCTGCCCCAAACATGGGAATGCAGATATCTCTTCGGCAAACCAATTTTATTTTCTTGGCAATGAGTCTGCTGGATCATATGGTAGTTCTCTAAAAGCTAAACATTATATATCTATATATAGATTTTCCTTACATTCATTAGGAATATATCTTCATAAACAACTTTTGGTTACATATTACAATGTATTATGACAAAGTATTGAGTGATATATTGATTTATCATCTTCAGTTAATAAACTTTAAAAAATAGATATATTAAGCTGGGTGCTGTGGCATGTACTTGTAATCCCAGCTAATAAGGAGGATCTCTTGAGTCCAGGAGTTCTGAGACTGGGCAGCATGGCAAGACCTTGTCCTTGAAAAAGAAAAAAAATAGATACATTAAGTCCGTGAGCTTGTTCATTTGGACTTTAAAATGAATTAAGACTCTTTCTAGCAGAAGATAAATCTGCTTTGAGTTGTTTGACAGTGAGAGCTGACTCTGCCAATTAGGCTGTGGTGGCTTGTTCAATAAATTGAATGTATTAAATCTGTAGCTGTAGTCGAAGAAATGGGTTGACAACTGATACATCATGAAAAGTAAATTTTCATAATTAAACAGCACGTGACTTTTGGCATATGAATTGTTAGAAGCCCAAAGAGTCAAAGGGAGACATTACTATAACAATTCCCATGTCTCAGGTGAGAAAAGTTTCTTAGCATTCACAGCCTTAAAAAAAAAAAAAGAAGGTAGCCTCCAGAATAGAAAACATACATAGAATTAGTGCTGAACCCTGACTCTTCTAGTGGTGAGTCATATGTCTCCCTGGGCACATGAGATATTTGTGGCTGGAACAGGCAGACCTACTCATCTTACTAAGACATCCTTTTCAAATAAACAATACTTTTTAAAAAGGTTTAACATTTGTAACGTATTGGTGTATTAATTACTGTAATGATATTACAGAAGAAAGTGAATGCTACCCTTAACATCTTCTGGATTCAGAGAGTCAAGGTGATTTTTAAATTTCATTTTATGTATACATTTTAACTGCAGAGAAGTATGGCAGGGTGATCAGGTAAAGGTTTAAGTATAAAAATAAAACTTGGATAAAGTTGGAGGAAATGAAATGAAAACAGTTCAAGAATAGAAACAAAGGATGTAAAATTTCCACTGTTAAAAAATATTTTGGTCATTTAAAAATGTTAATATTAAAATGTACTAGAATATATATTTACCCTTTGTAAATATTTAAACTTACAGTGAAAATTTTTAGACATTGACCTAAAAAATATGGGAGGGGTTTGTACACATGTGCATATTTTCTGGGGAGAGGGATGATCCAGAGCTTTCATCAGATTTTTTTTTTTTTTTCCGAGTGGTGTCTCACTCTGCTGCCCAGGCTGGAGTACAATGGCACGCTCACAGCCACCGCAGCAGCCTGGACCCGCTCAGGTGATCCTTCTGCCTCAGCCTCTCAGCCTTCCAGGTAGCTGGAACTACAGGCTTGTGCCACCATGCCTGGCTAATTTTTTGATTTATTGTAAAGACGAGGTCTCACCAAGTTGCCCAGGCTGGTGTCGAGCCTGTGAGCTCAGACAATCCTCTCACCTCGGCCTCCCAAAGTGCTGAGATTATAGGTGTGACCCACCGTGCCTGGCCTCATTGGATTCTTAAAGGTGGAAGATAAGACCAGCCTGGGCAACAAAATAAGACCTTGTCTCTACAAAAAATCAAGAAATTAGCAGGGCGTGGTGGCATACACCTCTAGTCTTGGCTACCCAGGAGGCTGAGGTGGAAGGATCCCCTGAGCCAGGAGGTGGAGGCTCAGCAAGCTGTGATCACACCCCTCGCTGCACTCCGCCTGGGTGATGGGGCGAGACCCTGTCTCTGCCAGCCAGGGCACTGGACTTTGGAGGCGGAATATTCATCCTAGGCTTCACTCGGTCAGCTTGTCTTGCCTATACCAACACACAGGCGTGTGGGAGTACAAAAGTTTATCTGCTTTTAAAAGTTCGAGTTCAGCTGTAACATCCAGGATAGAACTCGTAGTTCAGAATCGTCTCTCCTGTATCTCCATTGAATACTTCTCTTCCTCATTGTAAGTTGACGGTCCCTTCTCTTTCAGTTTGAAGGAAGAAAGTATTGTGAACATGACTTCCAGATGCTCTTTGCTCCTTGCTGTCACCAGTGTGGTAAGTTTCACTGCTGGAAGTAAAACAAAAAGCATGTTTCTAAATTCCTTCATTCACTTGAAGTGTCCCTGGTAAAAAGGCTTTTGTAGCTCATTATAAGTAACTGTTAGATACTTGTTAGTCCTCTCCCCTGTTATTATTATATAACCAACTATCAAACCCAGAGCGAACAGGGTTTCAAGGACATCTAGGGTGGAGGTATTTGGGGACGGGCAGGGCTCCTGGTAGTTGGTCCCTTGGAGCGCTCTCTTCCCATGGTGATGCAGCCTCATCTACTTGCTGGGGTGTGTCAGGGGAGAGACAGGGAAGACAGCCAGCCGCGAGGTGCTTCAGACGCTTGGGGATGCTTAAGGGCTGCTTGTGTGGACGTGAGTGCTTGGTGTGCTTGCGTGTTAGCCGTCTTGCTGGTTACGAGTAGCTCTGCTAAGTCCCTAGGGATTGAAGAGACAGAATAGAATGTTCTAAAGGTTTCGTGCAAGAAGAAATCAAGCGTGAGTTATAAGGAACAGTGCTGTAGAGCCAGTTGTCTGTGTCGACAATGACCAGAAACAACTGAAAGGCACTCGAGAGAGCCTGTATGTTGTTTGGGAAAGGAAGGCTCGATTCAGAGACGTGACGGAACAGCCCAAATATATGGCCACTGACTTAAGACCAAGGCCTCAGGTGAAGTAAAAGCCATTTTTTCTAATGTGGTACATACCCTGGTAGACACATAAATAAAAGGTTCCTCTTTAACCGGGCTCGGTGGCTCAGCCTGTAATCCCGCGCCTTTGGGAGGCTGAGGTGAGTGGATTGCCTGAGCCCACAGGTTCGAGACTCGCCTGGGCAACTTGGCGAGACCTCATCTCTACAATAAATCAAAAAAAATCAGCCTGGCGTGGTAGCGCATGCCTGTAATTCCAGCTACTTGAAGGCTGAGGCAAAAGGATCGCCAGAGACCAGCAGGTTGAGGCTGCAGTGGCTGGGAGCGGCCATTGCACTCCAGTCTGGGCGACAGAGTGAGACTCCAACTCAAAAAAAAAAAAAAGAAGGTTCCTCTTTACCGAGAAAGGTTTAAACAAATTTTCTCACTTTTTCCTCTTATTTGCAAACTAGGTACCACATTTGTTGTGAGGCTGTCACTTAGCAACATCCTTTGTGTGTCAACGTTCCCACAGGTGAATTCATCATCGGCCGAGTTATCAAAGCCATGAATAACAGCTGGCATCCTGAGTGCTTCCGCTGTGACCTCTGCCAGGAAGTTCTGGCCGATATCGGCTTTGTCAAGAATGCCGGGAGGTAGGAGTTTTCCGCTCGGTGGGATGTGGGCGGATGCGTGACCACGATGAGTCGTGTGTGGCTCCCCGTGGGCCGTGAGGCAGCTTTCTCTGGGGACTTGGACTGTGGGTGCGGCTGCCGCGCAGGGAGCCTCTCGTGTCTGCGCACAGGCACGGCTGCTCCACACGCGGCCGAGTCACCGGTGAGGGTGTGGCAGGGACGGCCTTCGCCAAGTCAGGTACGAGGGCTGAAACGCATCTTCCGTGGGGCACGGTTCTGCCGTGTGAGGCATAGGAGTGAGTTCTCAAGGAGAGGCTTGCAAAGTTTCTTTGCAAAGGTTCGGGAAGCGTGCTTCTTTTCCAGTACGAGAAAGCATCTGAGATGTGAAACGTAGGTTTTGGCTCTGTGTAGACACCTGTGCCGCCCCTGCCACAACCGCGAGAAAGCCCGGGGCCTGGGGAAGTACGTCTGCCAGAAGTGCCACGCGATCATCGACGAGCAGCCCCTGGTCTTCAAGAACGACCCCTACCACCCCGACCACTTCAACTGCGCCAACTGCGGGTACGAGGCCTTTGGCTTTTTGCTCACACACTGGGGAATACAGGGTCTCGTTGATCTGTATCTGTTGCGTGCCAACACGTCAGAATGTTTCTGTCCAGCTTTCAGTCTGGGAGATTTTAAACCTCTAGAAGGGTCAAGGGATGCTATGGGAGCTTGTGTGCCCTTCGTGTCATTTCTCTCATGACTATTTGCCTCACTTCGGTGTGTACGGTTCACGCTCTCACGCCCCTCCCCCATGTGTGTGTGTGTGTGTGTGTGTGTGTGTGTGTGTGTGTGTGTGTGTGTGTGTGTGTGTATACACACCTTTAACATTGTTTTTGCTGAGCAGTTTGATAGCAAATTGTAGATATCCTGACTGTCAGTACACATCTCCTGAGAATAAGGACATTCACCTATAGAACCACAGTGCTCTTCTCATACCTGAGAAAATCACCTGCAATTTTGTAACACCCAATGTCAGTCCATATTAAAGTACCCCCAGTTATCCCCAGAACTGTTTTCCATTACTGTTTTTCCAACATAGGATCCTCCCCTGCAGAAAAAAACCTTTAAGAAGTCTTATCTCTGTATGTGCATAACTTTTATAGTTGTCATAATTAGAGTGTTAACCTTAAAAATATGTTAAGTTGCTGGGCGTGGTGGCTCACACCTATGATCCCAGCACCTTGGGAGGCTGAGGTGAGAGGATTGCTTGAGCCCACGGATTTGAGTCCAACCTAGACAACTTGGTGAGACCTCATCTCTACAAAAAAATGAAAAATTTAGCTGGGCCTGGTGCGCATGCCTGTGGTTCCAGCTATTTGGGAGGCTGAGGTGGAAGGATCGCCTGAGCCCAGCTGGTTGAGGCTGCGGTGGCTGTGAATGTGCTACTGCACTCCAGCCTGGGCGACAGAGTGAGACTCCGATTCAAAAATATATATATATTAAATCACATTTACTTCGCCCGATTTATATCTGAAGGGAAAATATGTGATCTTTTTGCCTTCAAAAAGTTGTGATAAATTGTTAGTCTGTGCATTTTCTGAATTGCTCCCCAGCATAAGCATTCAGTGGAAACTGCCCTTTACTCTGTGGTTGTGGGTCCGGGTCTGCTGAGTGATGCAGGGGGAAGAGAAGCAGGAGCTGACCGTGAGGCCGGGGGTGTGTGGTGGGCGCTGAGTGGTCAGACCTCGGCTGGTTTGCTTCCCAATCCTCCCTCCGGTCGCATTTGTCTCCGTCCTTTTCACTAGCATCTTTCCTAGAGAATTACTTAAGATGGATGAAATTCAAACCGACCCATTTGGCTAATCGGGGCCTCCGCTGACCAAATGTTCGTTGACGCAGGAGACTGCAGACAATAGCTGATTGGAGCATTTGGAAAAGGAAAATGCTGGACATTTCATTGTTTATTTCCTAGTAGCCTATAGTTGTTCTTAACAGTTTATGACAACTTACATAATTGTTGGTAAATAGAACGAGCCTCCAGACTCCCCAGTTTGGAAAGGGAGTGTTTTAGTCTGTCTTGCACTCCTTTAACAGACTGCCACAGACTGGATCATTGATTTTATTTTTATTTTCTTTTTTGAGCCGGGGTCTCTTGTCACCCAGGCTGGAGTGCAGTGGTACCATTCTGGCTTACCACGCCCCCAGCCTCCTGGACTCAGGTGATGTTCCCGCCTCAGCTTCCTGAGGAGCTGGGACTATAGGCATGCACCACCACACCCAGCTAATTTGGGTTTTGTTTTTTTGTAGAGACGAGGTCTCGCTATGTGCCTCGGCTGGTCTCAGACTCCCTGGGTTCAAGCAATCCTCCCGCCTCGGCCTCCCAAAGTGCTGGGATTATAGGTGTGCGCTATTACACCTGGCCTTGGATCATTTTTAATGAATAGAAGTTGGTTTGACGCATGGTTCTGGAGGCCAGGAAGTCCAAGATCCAGGGGCTAGCATCGGGGGAGGGCCTTCTCGCTGCATCGTGACATGGCAGAAAGCATCCATGGGAGAGAGGGAGGGAGGGAAGGGGGCTGAACTCATCCTTTTGAAAGGAGCCTCTGTCTCCACAACCTAAGGAACCCTTTTGTGATCGAAACCGCCTCTTAAACACCTATCTCCCATCACCTCTGCATTGGAGATCCAGTTTCTAACACATGAACTTTGGGGAACACATTCACACCAAAGCAGGCAGTGTTGTTAAGTCTAGCCTCAGCACTGGTTATTTCCTGTAGCATTTTAAGGGAGACAAAGGGACTAAAATGCAATGTGACGATATGAGAAGGAAATGACTGGTGTGGTATGTATCAGACCTGTTCTTGTATCTTTTCATTGTTATGCTGATTTTTTGATGGGAGTCTGAAACCTTATTCAGGCCTCTTTGTTTTTGACCTGCTGGCCTCGGGCGATCCTTCTGCCTTGGCCTTCCAAGTAGCTGGAACCACAAGCATGTGCCACTGCACCCAGCTAATTTTTTGATTTATTGTGGAGATGAGGTCTTTTTTTTTTTTAAGTTGGAGTCTCACTCGATGTCACCCAGACTAGAGTGCAGTGGCCGCTCCTGGCCACCACAGCCTTGACCTGCTGGGCTCCGGCGATCCTTCCGCCTCAGCCTTCCAAGTAGCTGGAACTACAGGCGCGCTACCACGCCCGGCTAATTATTTGATTTATTGTAGAGATGAGGTCTTAACAAGTTGCTCAGGCGGGTCTCGAACCCACAGGCTCAGGCGGTCCACTCACCTCAGCCTCCCAAAGTGCTGGGATTACAGGCTAAGCCACTGAGCCTGGCTGAGACAAGGTCTTAAAGTGCTGGGATTACAGACGTGAGCCACCGCACCCAGCTATTCAAGTCTCTTATTTCAGCTTACTCTAAGCACCTCTAAGGAGAAAAAAGAAGTTACCAGGGATTTTCTTAGTCATGTCTGTATAATGTTTCTGAAAAGTATGGTAGACATGGGCTGGCGGTTTCTCTTTCTCTTCGTAGTGGTATTCAGTTGCGTATCTTTCTTGTGGGTAGGAAGGAGCTGACGGCTGATGCCCGGGAGCTGAAAGGGGAGCTGTACTGCTTGCCGTGCCATGATAAGATGGGCGTCCCCATCTGTGGTGCTTGCCGGCGACCCATCGAAGGGCGCGTGGTGAACGCCATGGGCAAACAGTGGCACGTGGAGGTGAGTTCTGGGTGACATGGGGCGACCGAGACCTGTGGATTTCCAGGGTTCAGGCAGGTTCACAGCATCAGGCGTTTCTAGCAGTAAAACAGGACCTCTAGATGATCTGAATATGGACACGCTAGGATAGTTAACATTGTTGAAATTAGCAGCTATAGAACATACACGGCTTTTGTGAATCAGTGATGACACAGGACATGTGCTTTTGTTCCTGAATCCTTCTTGAAACAAAAAGCATCATGGTCTATATTAGCAGCAGCTGCTTCTAGATGCTACTGAGCTGCTCACCTCTGTTCTTACCTTGCATCGAGTAGGCTGTGTCTCACAGACACCTGAATCAACACTGTTAAAATATTGTGAGCTTACCTATGACCCAGTGAAATCACTGCCTCAAACTGTCAAGCATCTTCTCCGCGGATAGACTCATTTGGGGCGTATTTATTAGGGACAAACTATCGCAATTCAGAACTGACCTACAGCAATTTCTTTCCAGCATTTTGTTTGCGCCAAGTGTGAAAAGCCGTTTCTTGGACATCGCCATTATGAGAGGAAGGGCCTGGCGTACTGTGAAACCCACTACAACCAGGTAATGATCCCTCTCACTGGATGCCAGGTATACTTCTGCGAATTGAAGCTCATCACTACTTTAACTGCAAGGATATCTCTTGGAGGATGTACTTGGGCCACAGAGATTTGTTTTTAGCTATTTATTTGGGAATTAATTTCAGACTCAGAAAAACTATAAGATAAAAAGTACACAGAATACCTATGTCCCTTCACTCTGATTCTCCCTGTACTTCTGCATTGGCGTGTACTTGGTCTTGCTGTGTGAAAACATACACTTAGATAAATCCAGCACATCTTTATAGACAAACGCATGCTAAGTGTTTTTTCTGAAGCATTGGACAGTAAGTTGGTCGTAGTCCTTTACCCCTAAGCACTTCAGCTCATATTTCCTAAGGATTTGGGACTTTCTGGGTAACTGTGGTTGTCATATTGATACAGTGCGTTATTTGTGTATCCCAGTTTTGTCCCTTGGCCCAGTCATGTCCTCACAGCACTTCTTTCCACTCTGGGACTCTGCCCGTCTAGGGTGGGCATGCTTCTTTAGCCTCCTTGAAGCTGGAACGTTTCCAGAGCCTCTCTTTTTTTTTTTTTG